ATGTAACAACATATCCACCATTATATTTAACACCAACTATGGTAATGGATAAAATGAAAATGGAAGGTATTAGAAAATCTAAATTAACATTTGATCAAATGATTATTTTATCTTTATTTGCTGGTATATTTAAAGGTGTTGGTTGTACAATGTCTTTATTAACTGCTGGTAATTCTGAATTATTAGAAAAACAAATACCTGGTTTACAAAAATTCTTTTTTGGTGGTATGTTTTTAATTAATTTAATAATTTTTAATTTAATTTAATAATGTTAAATATAATTTTAAATATAATTTTAAATATAATTTTAAATTTAATATAATTTTAATAATATAATTTTAATATAATTTTAAATATAAAAAAAAGCTGTATTTCCAATTAGTTTAATATTAATAACAATGACAGGATCAGAATTATTTACAGGTAATGTATTAGTAGTATTAGTTGGATTATTTTCAAGAAAATGGAGAGCTAAGAAATTTTTTATTCATTTATTACAATTTTTAAAAAATATAATATTATCATATATATTTAATTTAATTGGAGCATTTTTAATGGCATATTTATTTATATATTTAACACAACCATGTTGTGATTCACATTGGATTGAATATGTTAAACATTTATCAGAATTAAAAACAAGTAGAACATTTGGTTCATGTTTATTATTAGGTATTATATGTAATATGTTAGTTACAATGGCTACTTATAATGCTTTAGCTGCTACTACTTTAGAAGGTAAAATATTAGGTATTTGGTTTCCTATTATGGTATTTGTATCATGTTCATTTGAACATTCTGTTGCTAATGCTTATTTTATACCTTTAGGAATGTTATATGGTGCTAATGTTACAATGTATGATTTTATTGTTAAAAATTTAATACCTGCTACTTTAGGTAATATCATTGGTGGTGCTTTTATTATTGGTTGCTTATTTTATTATGTTAATGATTATAGAAATAGACATAATAGATTCATTTTTAATTTTATTGAAAAAATTTGGAAATATTTAAAAAAATCAAATTTATTAAGTAATACTAGATTTAATTCAATGAATGATAATGATAATTTAACAACAACAACAAATAATGCTGATGCTGATGATGAATATGATGAGGAGGAAGATTTGAAATCTGATTTGGATTTCCTTGAAGTTAAAAATAAACAACAAGATGTCATTTAATATATTATATAATTGAAAATAACCTTCCTTCATTGGTGTTAACAAGCCAACATATCCAAGAGAGTGGACGAATAATAATACTCTTTATTCAAAACTTTTAAAAAAAATGAAAAAACAAAAGTCTGATGCTTCTTCATCAAAGAAAGATAAATCATCAAGTGCATTGAATAAAGAGGACGATGATGATCAGTGCCATGCCATCTCATGTGTTCGTTGTCGACGTCTACATAAAAAGTGTAACAAGAAATTGCCTTCTTGTTCGAAATGTATTTCCGATGGAGTGGAATGTAATGTATGTTTTGATCAAAGAATACAAAATTATATAATCAACTGATAACTTATAACTGATAATTGTATTGTGGGGATTGTAGTATAGTACTCCTT